CATAGAAACAGAAACTAAACCGAGACACTTTGAAATTAACAGAAGTTATGAACCAAATGGACTTAACAGACATCTATAGAACATTTCATCCTAAAACAAAAGAATATACCCTTTTCTTAGCACCTCATGGTACCTTCTCCAAAATTGCACCATATAATTGGTCACAAAACAGGCCTCTACAGATAAAAAAGATTGAAATAATCCCTTGCATCTTATCAGATCACCACGGACTAACACTGCTCTTTAATAATGACAAAACCAATGGAAAACCCACATGCACATGGAAACTGAACAACTCTCTACTCAATGATGACTTGGTCAAGGAAGAAATAAAGAAAGAAATTAAAGACTTTTTAGAATTCAATGAAAATGAGCACACATCATACCAAAACTTGTGGGACTCCATGAAGGCAGTGCTAAGAGGAAAACTCATAGCTCTAAGTGCCTACAAAAAGAAACTGGAGAGAGCACACACTAACAACTTGACTGAACAACTAAAAGCTCTAGAACAAAAAGAAGCAAATACACCCAAGAGGAGTAGAAGGCAGGAAATAATCAAACTCAGGGCTGAAATCAACCAAATAGAAACAGAAAGAACAATACAAAATATCAACAAATCCAGGAGCTGGTTCTTTGAGAAAATCAACAAGATAGATAAACCGTTAGCCAGATTAATCAGAGGGCACAGAGACAGTATCCAAATTAATAAAATCAGAACTGAAAAGGGAAACATAACAACAGAAACTTAGGAAATTTAAAAAATCATCAGATCCTACTACAAAGGCCAATACTCAACAAAACTGGAAAACCTGGATGAAATGGACAACTTCCTAGACAGATACCAGGTACCAAAGTTAAACCAGGAGCAGATAAACCATCTAAATAGTCCTATAATCCCTAAGAAAATAGCAGCAGTCATTAAAAGTCTCCCCACTAAAAGAAGTCCAGGACCAGTTGGTTTTAGTGCAGAATTCTATCAGACCTTCAAGAAATACCTAGTACGAATTCTCTTCAAAGTGTTCCACAAAATAGAAACAGAAGGAACACTACCCAATTCGTTCTATGAAGCCACAATTACACTCATATCCAAACCCCACAAAGACCTGACAAAGAAAGAGAACTTCAGACCAATCTCCCTTATGAACATCGATGCAAAAATACTCAATAAAATTCTAGCAAACCGAATCCAAGACCACATCAAAACAATCATCCATCATGATCAAGTAGGTTTTATCCCAGGAATGCAGGGATGGTTCAATATTCGGAAATCCAGCAATGTAATCCACTATAAAAACAAACTCAAAGAAAAAAACCACATGATCATCTCACTAGATGCTGAGAAAGCATTTGACAAAATTCAACATCCCTTCATGATGAAAGTCTTGGAAAGAGCAGGAATTCAAGGCCCCTACCTAAACATAGTAAAAGCAATTTACAGCAAACCAGTAGCCAACATCAAACTAAATGGAGAGAAACCTGAAGCAATCCCACTAAGATCAGGGACTAGACAAGGCTGCCCACTCTCCTCCTACCTATTCAAGATAGTACTGGAAGTCCTAGCCAGAACAATTAGACAACAAAAAGAAGTCAAAGGGATACAAATAGGAAAGGAAGAAGTCAAAATAACACTATTTCCAGATGATATGATAGTATACTTAAGTGACCCCCAAACTTCCACCAGAGAACTCCTAAACCTGGTAAACAACTTCAGCAAAGTGGCTGGTTATAAAATCAACTCAAACAAATCAGTAGCCTTCCTCTACATGAAAGATAAACAGACTGAAAAAGAAATTATGGAAATGACACCCTTCACAATAGTTGCAAATAATATAAAATACCTTGATGTGAATCTAACCAAGCAAGTGAAAGACCTGTATGACAAGAACTTCAAGTCCCTGAAGAAAGAAATCGAAGAAGATCTCAGAAGATGGAAAGATCTCCCATGCTGATGGATTGGCAGGATTAATATAATAAAAATGGCCATCTTGCCAAAAGCAATCTAGAGATTCAATGCAATTCCCATTAAAATCCCAACTCAATTCTTCACAGAGTTAGAAAAGGAAATTCTCAAATTCATTCGGAATAACAAAAAGCCCAGGATAGTGAAAACTATTCTCAACAATAAAAGAACTTCTGGAGGAATCACCATCAAGCTGTACTACAGAGCAATAGTGATAAAAACTACCTGGTATTGGTACAGAGACAGGCAGGAAGATCAATGGAATAGAATTGAAGACCCAGAAATGAACCCACATACCTGTGGTCACTTGATCTTTGACAAAGGAGCTAAAACGGTCCAGTGGAAAAAGGACAGTATTTTCAACAAATGGTGCTGGTTCAACTGGAGGACAACATGTAGAAGAATGAAAATTGATCCATTCTTATCTACTTGTACAAAGCTCAAGTCTAAGTGGATAAAGGACCTCCACATAAAACCAGATACACTGAAACTAATAGAAGAGAAGATGAGAAAGAGCCTCGAATACTTGGGCACAGGGGAAAAGTTCCTGAACAGAACACCAATGGCATATGCTCTAAGATCAAGAATTGACAAATGGGACTTCGTAAAATTACAAAGTTTCTGTAAGGCAAAGGACACTGTCAATAGGACAAAACGACAACCAACAAATTGGGAAAAGATCTTTACCAATCCTACATCTGATAGAGGGCTAATATCCAATATATACAAAGAACTCAAGAAATTAGACTCCAGACAACCAAATAACCCTATTAAAAAATGGGATATAGAGCTTAATAAAGAATTTTCAACTGAGGAAATTCGAATGGCCGAGAAGCACCTAAAGAAATGTTCAGTGTCCTTAGTCATCAGGGAAATGCAAATCAAAACAACCCTGAGATTCCATCTCACACCAGTCAGAATGGCTAAGATTAAAAAGTCAGGTGATAGTAGATGCTGGCGAGGATGTGGAGAAAGAGGAACACTCCTCCATTGTTGGTGGGACTGCAAGATGGTGCAGCCACTTTGGAAATCAGTCTGGCGTTTCCTCAGAAAATATACCTGGGGATCCAGCTATACCACTCCTAGGCATATACCCAGAAGATGCTCGAACATATAACAAGGACATATGCTCAGCTATGTTCATAGCAGCCTTATTTATAATAGCCAGGAGCTGAAAAGAACCCAGATGTCCTTCAACTGAGGAGTGGATTCAAAAAATGTGGTACATTTACACAATGGAGTACTACTCAGCTATTAAAAACGATGAATTTGAGAAATTCCTAGGTAAATGGATGGAACTAGAAATTATCATCCTGAGTGAGGTAAGCCAATCACAAAAGAACATACATGGTATTCACTCACTGATTATTGGATATTAGCCCAGAACCTTGAAATGCCCAAGATGCAACTCAGAGGCCACATGAAGCTCATGAAGAAGGAAGACCAAGTGGGGGTGATTCGGTCCTTCTTAGAAGGAGCAACAAAATACTCAAGGGAGCAAATATGGAGACCAAGTGTGGGACAGAAACTGAAGGAGGGGCCGTCTGAAGACCATTCCACCTGAGTATCCATCCCATGTGCAGTCACCAAAGGTAAATGCTGATGTGGAAGTCAGGAAGTGCATGCTGATAAGAGCCTGATATAGATGTCTCCTCAGAGGTCTGCAAGAGTCTGACATATTCAGAGGTAGATGCTCACAACTAGCCATTGAACTGATCATGGGGTTCCCAATGGAGGAGTTAGAGTGAATACCATTGGAGCTGAAAGTGTTTGTGGCCCCATGAGGAGAGCAACAATACCAACCAACCACAGCTCCCAGAGTCTAAACCACCAGCCTGGGAGCACTTAGGGAGGAATCCATGGCTTCAGCTGTATATGTAAGAGCGGAGGGCCCTGCTGGGCATAGGTGAGAGAAGAGATCGTTGGTCTCATGAAGGGTGGACGCCCCAGGGTGTGGGAATTTGAGGGTGGGGAAGTGGGAGTGGGTGGGTAGGTAGGGGTACATCCGCAGAGAAGCAGGAGGAGGGGTGAGGGCATGGGGGTTCCTGGATGGGTAAGGGATGGGGTAAGGGGACAACATATGAAATGTAAATAAAACATCCAATAAAAAAAAAGAAAAAGAAAAAAATGAAAAGGTAAAAAAAAAAGTCTCCGTCTGCTGCAAATGGAAGTTTTTTTGATGAGAGAGAGGTGAGAGCTACACTTACCTGTATTTTAAGGATGACTGTTTAGAATGCAGCTAGAGGTGATACTGGTTTAGGAAAGTAACAGTAGGATTCATGACCTCACCAGCCACAAGTATTTTGTTGAGTTTACAATACCAGGCACAAACTTACTCCTATTGTATGAACCTTATGTCAAGTTGGTTGTCTGTTAGTTACCCCTATGATATTAGTGCTATTATTTCATCTTTCAGAATATATTGTTCTAGTTGTTATTGTGGTTCATAGGCATTACAACTAGATAGGAGTATTACTTACTTTCTTGCTTGGCAGCTTACATAACTCCTCCTTGTTCTATGAGAGCTAGTTCTCTCGGAATGGGCTTTCATGTCAGATTTTGATTGATTCCCCCAAATACTTTGTCTTAAGTGTGTGGTGTCTTCAGTATGGTTTCACCTTCCTCTCCTGGAAGGCAACAAAGGGCTACAGAAATAGCCTATATTGTTTGGATGTCTCTTGGAGTCTCCTAACAATAGCTCAAAAGGAGTTTTTTCCTGTCTGATATTTAAGGTTTTTGTTGATTGTCTATTGTTTTGGGGGAGTATTGTTACCTCAAAACAACTTCAAATAAATCATATTTGTGTGTGTGTGTGTGTGTGTAGTCAAACACATTATATGCAATATTAAGTGAGCATAAAATAATACAATTCCCGTATAAGTGCTATTCCTGACCCAAGACTTTTAGATCATTATCACTAAGGGATGCCCACAGAGAAGATGGCTACGCAGTAGACTATTTACAGTCATCTTAAAATTTATAACAGGTTTAAAGTAACTTATTGTCTTCTGTTAATGAGAAACTGAACTCGTTTTTATAGAGAAGAGTGGACAGAAGCTATCCAAGCTGTAGCTGACCGACTACAGAGGCAAGAAGAGGAGAGGATGAATTGTAGTCCAACCTCACAGATTGATAATATAGGAGAGGAAGAGATGGACGCGTCTACAACCCATCATAAAAGAAAGGTAGATAACAATGATGACTTCTTCTTCCCAAGTATATATACTCTCTATATGCTGAAAGCCACATTTGAGAGAGACATCAGCCAGTTTTTGTATTGTCTGTATAACTTTGTGAACCTAGAACACCTGTTGCTTACAACTGAGTAATTGACCAGCACTTAAGCCCAGGATGTTTGTGGGACTTAGGAAGGAGTGGTAATTGATTTACTTTATAGATAACATTTTATCTTGCTGGTAACAGCATTTTAGAAACATGGAAATCAGATGTTTTCCTTAAGGAAAAATGACTCTGTGGTTTCTGCCCGTGCTTTCAACCTTAACGTAAGCTACCTGGAAAGTGAGAAGTCTTGTAAATAATACCTTTTCTTTTCATTGCTACTCATGTGCCAATGAAGAAGGAAAGCATAACCTTTTTCCTCAGTGCTCTAGATTAGTATATAATTTTATAGGAATTGTAAATAATACTTTTCATTACTGTAAAGTTTTAAAATAACTTCTTTATGTAATATGGTATTTAAAACTAGTCTAAATGGTTGAGTATTTGAAAACTCTCACATATAAGAAAGAATGGTCAGCAGAAGCTATCCAGTCTGTAACCTGATAATTGATAGTAGATTAAAATGTCATTTGCATGTGTATGTTAAATATATATTTGTTGTTTGCTTTGTAAATTATATTCAGATGGAGGTGAAAACAAATGCTCAAAGTATTATCAGTTATGTTTTGTGAGTTTTGTTTAATTAATTAATTTTGCAGTGCTGGAATTTTGAATTCAGGAGTATATAAATGCTCCTATGCCACCAAATCCCACCACTTGGTGTTAGTGTAGTGATCAGAACGCCTTTCAAGTTCAGTTGCCTGGGTTCAAATCCTTTTCTTTTTTTATTAATCATTTTATTCATTTACATTTCAAGTGATATCCTCCTTCCCGGTTATATATAAAAATTTTAGATGTATGTGGTAAGTGAAAATAGTTTTAAATTACAGGAGTATATAGAAGGTATGTTTATACCAATGGCTGCTTTATAATGATTTCAATGATTTAGTTTAAAGTGTGCTAGTATTATAGTCTTTATATGTGACAACTGCATTTAGAACATTTTGGGTATATGACGTATCATTTTTAGTGCTTTTAGATAAAAAATAAAGATTGAATTAACACATGTCATGTTGAACAATAACGTCAGTTTATGGCCTTTTACCTATTTATTGTTAGAGAAGTACCAGAAACAATAGCAGTGTGCTGTTTCTTATGCTTTTGTTGCTGACTGAGCTATTCAGGTGTTCTTACATAGATCTTCAAATACATTATTTTTGGATGCTTATATTCTGGCCTTGAAAAATCCAAAGCAAACTTTTCTGTTATGTCTTAGGGTTTGGTGTTTACTTTTGGGTTTGGTACCTACCTTTGTGGTTCTGCACAATTTCTCTGTGCCTGTAATTTATTTGTCAGGGTCTTAATACATAGTCTTTCCACAAAGCCTCCACTTCCACACAGAAAGAAAGCTGTCTCTTGAGAGTTTCTAAGAGAGATACATTGATAATCTCCAGGCTTAAAAAGACATGTTCTATAGACTATTTAATCAAAGACAATTTAAGAATTATGAATCTGAAAGAGAATGAGAAGGTTGCAATGAGGTGCTAGAAAGAAGAAAAGGAATGGGGGAAATTACGTACTTACAATCTTTTTTTAAAAAATCTATTAAAAATGCCAGGCAGATAGAAATTGAGAGTTAGGGAGGGAGAAAGGGAGAGAAAGGCGTAGGTAAGAGGAAGAGACAGACTACTACTTCCTGGGAATAAGACAGCCATATTTGGAGTCTGATAAGTTGGTCCTTAACATCCGAGTTTTTAAAGCTATCAGTGGAATTAAAAATGTCTAGATATCTATTATTTTTCAAAATGACTGTATTTATAACTGTTTTCTAATATGGACAGCTATATGCCTGAATTTTAGATGAATTAGTAAGTATACATTGCTTTTCTTTTTTTGATATTTACTTTTTCCTTTGAACTACATATGTCAAGATGTTATAATTTGATATTTGGGTAAAATTATCAAAATTATTGGCAAGGGATATTAAAGTTTAATGTAGGCATTCATTTATGAAATATTTAAAATTTTGTAAGTATGTATGCGAAGGGCAAATATCTGTAGTTTTATTGCAGTGTCTTTGTCTGGTTTTAATATCAGAATGACTCTGGCCTCATAGTGTGAGTTGAACAATATTTCTCCCATTTCAGTTTTCAGGAAGAGCTTGTGTAGAATTGGCACCTTTTTTGTTGAAATGTTGTGGACTTTTCCTTATTGTAAAAACGTCATATGAATTCAGTTCTTACACAGTGCTGTTCAGCTTACCTGTTACTTCCTCAGTGAGCTTCTGTAGTGTGAGATGTAGTGGATTTGCTCATTTCATCTCAGTGTCCGTTTCTGCCATAGAGCTGTTTGTTCTCTTGTGCTCTCTTTAGTGCCTAATGGTTCTATACTGATGGCACCTTTCTCAGTTCACCTTGATAGACTTATCCTGAGCAATCTGCCTGGATGTTTACAGGGTTTTTGTTTGTTAGTTTGTTTGTTTGTTTATTCCTTTCTCCTATTTTTCCAAAAACGTTTTCTTAGTTATATTTAAAACTTATTGTGTTTTTGAATATCACCTTTTCTGAGGTAGCACTACTTAAAGCAAGAAAACCTGAGAACTTGAAAATATTTGACTTTAAAAAAATTGCCTGTCACTTAACTAATAGTATAACTGAGGGAGAAATTCTAGGTTCAAAATAATTTCTACAAAGTCTGAAACTTACATAAATTATATTTGGTATCGGAGATTGTTGAAGAGACAGGCAATGGAAGTATTTTTTTTCCTCATTGGAAATTGGTCTAGAAATTGGTAGGAAAAGTATCAGGTTTACAGTGCAAGAAGAATACAAGCAGGCTAGAAATAAATTGTGTCAACAATTTCATTGTGGTTTTCTATTTTATATTTTCCAGACTATGAATGATTTTGACTATCTAAAACTACTAGGTAAAGGGACTTTTGGGAAGGTTATTTTGGTTCGAGAGAAGGCAAGTGGAAAATACTATGCTATGAAGATTCTGAAGAAAGAAGTCATTATTGCAAAGGTAACTGATTGTAAAAGCCAGTGACTTAATTTTTCTCTAGTATGAACCTGCATTCATTCTTGTAAGTGGTGGTATAGGGATTCCATGAAGTAATCAAAATATTGATTATAGCCGGGCAGTGGTGGTGCACGCCTTTAATCCCAGCACTTGGGAGGCAGAGGCAGGTGAATTTCTGAGTTCGAGGCCAGTCTTGTCTACAGAGTGAGTTCCAGGACAGCCAGGGTTACACAGAGAGACCCTGTCTTGAAAAACAAAACAACAACAACAAAAAAGGAAAACAAAGAAAAATATTGATTATAAACTGTCAATTTTAAGGTTTTAAGTATAGTATTATGTAAATTATGGTGATACTGTGTTATTCTCTTCAGGAAATATTTTCATTGTAAAGTTAGAGGAATTTTTAAACTATACATTTGTGATCCACATCATTGATTACATTAGTGTTGCTTTCACTATTTTTTCACAGTGTATATGTGCCATATTTTAATTATCTGTTCATCAGTTGAAGGGCATTTAGGCTGTTTCCATTTCCGGGCTGTTATGCATAGAGCAGAAAGTGAACATGGCTGAACAGGGCCTGTCCAGTTGACTGTTGAGTCCTTCGTACACACGCTAAGAAGTGGTCTATATGGATCATATGATAGCTTAGTTAATTTTTAGCTTTTTGAGGACTCTCCCATAATGATTTCCAAAGTGACTCTGTCAGTTTTCAATTCTGTCAACAGTGAGTGTGTCTCCCCTGTCCTCATATTCCCTCCAGCATTTGTCATCTGTTGGTTTTTATGGTCTTTGCCATTTTGATTGCGGTTACATGATCTCAAAATTGTTTTGATTTGTATTTCCCTAATTGCTAGGAACTGAGAACATATCTTAACATTTTGAACTACCTTAGACATTTTTGTGTTTTATTTTGAGAACTCTTTGTTTAGATTTCAGGTCCATTATTCTTTTGAATGGATCATTTGTTTTTGGATATCTTGTTTTTTTTTATTTCTTTATGTATTTTATTTATTAATCCTCAGATGTATAGCTAGCAAAGATTCCAGCTTTGCGGGCCCCTCTTAACCTGGTCTATTGTTTCTTTAGCTATTTAGCAGCTTTTCAATTTTACCAACTCCCAGTTATCAATTGCTGGCTTTAATGATTGGACACAGGGGCTCCTGTTCAGGAAGTCTTTTCCTGTGCCTGTATCTACATTTGCCTGGTTTTTTTTCTCCCAGTTTCATTGTTTCAGATTTCACGTTTAAGTTTGTGAACCATTTGGAGATGGTTTTTGTACAGTGTGATAGATTTGATTCTAATTGCAGTCTTCTACTTGTAGACATCTGTTTACCCAGCAACATTTGATGAAGATTCACTGTTTCCTAGAGCATGTATTTGTCATCTTTGTCAAATATTAAATGACTGAAATTACATGTATTCATGTGTTTGGGTCTTTAATCCTGTTCCAATGATCTATATGTTTGTTTTTGTGCCAATAGCATATTGCTTTTAGGTATTTTATTTTCCTTGAGGATGCTGTGAATGAGTGTATCCATGACCTCTCTCTCTGTGTATATTTGTTGTTCATGTACAGAAAAGCAATTGATTTGTACAGGTTGATTCTTTATACTTCTTTCTCCATTCCTGAACTTATTATTTATAGAAGATTTCTGGTAGAATTTTTGGAATTTCTTATACAGTATTATGTCCTGTGCAAATAAGGATGACAGATTTGACTTTTTTTTCTATTTTGGATCTTTAATTTTCTTCTCTTGCCCTTTTGCTCCAGCTAATACTTCAAGCACAGTGTTGCAAAAGAGTGGGGCAAGTTCGTATTTCAATGTCATTCCTTCAGTGGAGTGGCTTTAAGTTTGTCTCAATTTAGGACATTATTGACTGTGGCTTTCTTATTTTTAGTTCTTTTAGTCAGGGTTAGGCAGTGTTACTATTGCTGTGGTCACATAGAACAAGCTTGGAGTGTTCCTTCTGTTAGTATGTGTTTTAAGAATTTAAGAAGAATTAAATAGTTTAAGAAGAATTGATCTTTCAAAGAAGATCTTTGAAAGTAGATCTATATAGCAGAATTCTGCTATAAGTAAATCTGGGCTTAGACATTTTTAATTGAAAGCCTTTTTGTTGTTATTTTAATCTCCTAATCTGTTTAGGTTGTTTACTTCTTGCTTTAATTTTGGTGGTTTAGTGGTGAATCTAGAAAGTCCTCAATTTCTTTTAGGTTTTTCAACTTAATGAAAGCAGTTTTAAAAAATATTCCCTTATTAAATTCTTTGGTATCTCTTATAATGTTTTCCTGTTCATTTTGGATTCTGTTAATTTGGATTTCCTTCCTTCCTGACTTCCTTCCTTCTTTCTTCTGGTTAGTTGGACCAGAGGTCTGTCCATTTTTTTTCTATCTTTTCAAAGAACCAGTTCTTAGATTCATTGAGTTTTTGTATTATGTTATATTCATTTTTAAGTTGTTACTTTGGTCTGTTTTTCCTTATTTCTTATTGTCTATTGGGTTTTGATTTGGTTTTGTTTTTCAAAATTATTGAGTTTTATCCTTAAATCATTATTCTCTGAGCTCTGACTTTTTAAATGTTGGTCCTTTGGGCTATCGATTTCTCTGACAGGGTTGCTTCCAGGGAGTACTAGAGGTGTTGTGTTACATTTTCACTTTGTTTTAGGTCCAGGAAATATTATTTTCTCACTGGATCCTTTTATCATTCAGTAATTGGTTGTTTAATTTCTGAGTTTGTATTCAAGAGATTTGTTTGCTTTCAATTTTAAATTTTATTACACAGTGTCACATAGGATACATGGAGTTATTTCAGTTTTTCTGACTTTGTTAGTATTTGTTTTGTATATCAGTGTATAGTTTATTTTAGGGAAGCTTCTGTGTGATGCTGAGTAGAATGCATATATTTTGTTGTTTATGTATAGTTTATAGATCCCTGTTAAATCTATTTGATGTGTAATGTCGTTTAAATCTGATGGGGGTTTTGTTGTTGTTGTTGTTGTTTGTCTAGCTGACCTGTCTGTTACAGAAAATGAGGTACCAACTATTAATGAGTTGATAATCTGAGTTTTTTAAAAAATTCATTAGTATATTTTTTATAAAATTGGGTGCATTGGAGTTTGATGCATGTGTACTTAAGATAGTAATGCCTTCTTGGTTAGCTATTCTCTTTATTACAATTAAGTGTGCTTCTTATCTCTTCTGATTAAGTTTGAAGTAGATTCTGTCAGATAGTAGGATAGTGATACTTCCCACAGATGTTGTGGAAGGTGAGTGATAAAATTGGAAAGAATGATTGCCCTCTGGCCTCAGGAAATAGTCTCCTTCTGAAACTTCTTTCTCTGAAAGAAATTTGACTTAAAGACTTCTTATTTAGTATTTCAGGATGGGAATCTGTTTTTCAAAAGCAATTCTATAAGACCATTATTCTTCTAAATCTTAGTACTTCTAAAATTCTTCATTTGTAATCATCATTAGCAAATGAACTTTTAAATAAGCATTGCATTGTTTTAGCCACAAAAATTTCTCACTGTTATTTTTAATTTCTTGTTTTGACATGTTGCTTTTAACTGTGATTAAAAATTATTGGCATCTGTGTTTATTTCTTAGCTTATATGCACCATATCTTCATAGAAAAACTAATTAGTATGTGAAGTACAATATCATTAAATTTGCATTATTGGAAAATTTTCTGACCTTAAATATAAATTATGATAGAAAATACATTTTAATGTATTAAAGATTGATCAGTCTTATTATCTCTTATTTATGTGTTCATAAAAAAGAATTTTCTTACCTATTATCTGTATATGTCTTTGCTTGGCTGTGTACATGTGGTTGATTGAGGAATTTAGAGGAGGAAAAGTCACAAAATTTCACAAAATTTACAAGCTCATGTAGAAAAATATTATGTGGAATGTGGCTGTTTTACCAAAACAGAATGAAATATCCCCCCCCCCCGCCTTTTTTGATATTTTATTTACTAACATTTGAGATGTCATCCACTTTCCCCATTTTCCCTCCTTAGAACCCTTCTGTCCCATCCTTCCTCCGCCTTTTTGCTTTTATCCATTTTAATTATATGCAAGTATTAAGGTCAGTTCTAGGTAGAGAGACTAGCAGTGCAATAGATGCAAATAGTCAAGGAACAAGCAAAACAATAAACACAAATAGTCAAAGAACAAGCAAAGCAATAAACAAATTTCCATGAACACTCCTGTGATCACTGTTTCTAGGGGCTTATCAGGATGACCAAAATATCTGAGCCTACTTCTCTGTCCTAGCCCAAAGTCATTTTCATGTTTGAAGCCTACTTCCTTGTTCTAGCCTAAGATATAGATTCCTGCTTGAAATTACTTCTTCCTTCTAGCCTAAGATTTAGATTCCTACCTGAAATTACTTTTTTGTTCTAGCCTAATGTCAGATTCCTGCCTGAAACCTACTTCAGTCTTGTTAATGAAATAAAAAAAAGAGAAGAGGCAGAGAACCTTTGGGGCTGCTTGGCAAGAATCTGACATGGGTCAAGGACAAGGAAACAGGCTGCATTGGCTTCCTTTTTTTCTAATGTACCAGATTATAATTTGGTGGTACTTTGACTTCTTACTTTCCAATTTGTATCCACTTGATCTCCTTTTGTTTTCTAATTGCTGTAGCTATAACTTCAAGTACTATATTGAATAGATAGGGAGAGAATGGGCAGCCTTGTCTTGTACCTGATTTTAGTGTTATTTCTTCTAGTTTGTCTTCTTTTAATTTGATGTTGGTTGTTGGTTTGCTATATATTGCTTTTATTATATTTAGGCATATGCCATAAATTCCTGATCTCTCCAATGCTTTTAACATGAAAGAGTGTTGTATTTTGTCAGAGGTGTTTTTTAGCATCTAATGAGATGATCATATTTTTTTTCCTTTGAATTTGTCTATGTAGTAGATTATGCTAATGGGTTTTTATATATTGAACCAATCTTGCATCCCTGGGATGAAGCCTACTTTATTGTGGTGAATGATTGTTTTGGTGTGTTCTTGGATTCAGTTTGCAAGAATTTTTTTGAGTATTTTTGCATCAATATTTGTTGCAGGAAATATTCAAAAAGAACAGCCACTGGCTCCTGGCTTGCTGCCTCAGTGGCACTGGCCTGAGGCCCACTGGCCTGCTCTGTGGCTTCCATGGCTCTAGGCATGGCGCCTGGGCCAACTCTACCATCCTCATGGTAGAGATCATAATACTCAGTACCCAGTAGAAATAAGACTCTTAATGCTTAAAGTTAACCAAACAGGTTTATATACCAGCAAATACTCAAATCACAAGATGTTCACACAATTTAGAAGGTTATCCCAATATTCCTAACCTTTAGATTTCATATCTACCAATTTACTTGATGCCACGCGGGTCCACGTCTGCCACCATTTCGGCTTCCCGCTCTCTCTTGCGTGTTTTTTCCTGCATTCCTGTCTCTTCCACCCTTAGCTTCACCTCCCTTTTTCCTGTCCAATCACAGGACTCCCACCGCAAATAGATTGGTCAGGGAAATTTCTGCCACAAATATTCATAAGAGTAATTGACCAGAAGGTCTCTTTCTTTGTTGAGTGTTTGTGTGGTTTAGGTATCAGAATAACTGTGGCTTTATAGAATGAATTAGGTAGTGTTTCTTCTGTTTCTATTTCATGGAATAGTTTGAGGAGTATTGGTATTAGCTCTTCTTTGAAGGTCTGGTAGAATTCTACATTAAAACCACCTGGCTCTTGGGTGATTGGGAGGTTTTTAATGACTATTTTCTTAGGGGTTATCAGACTGTTTAGTTTATCTGATCTTGATTTAACTTTGGTATGTAGTATCTGTCTAGAAAACCATCTATTTCATCTAGATTTTCCTGTTGTGTTGAATATGGGCTTTTGTAGTAGGTTCTAATGATTTGTTGAATTTCCTTAGTTTCTGTTGTTATATCTCCCTTTTCATTTCTGGTTTTATTAATTTGGATAGTGTCTCTGTGCCCTGTTGTTAGTTTGGCTAAGGGAGTATCTATCTTGTTGATTTTCTCAAAGAATCAGCTCTTGGTTTTGTTGGTTCTTTTTATCATTCTCTTTGTTTCTAACTGGTTGCTTTGAACCCTGAGTGTGACTATTTTTTGCCATCTACTACTCTTGAGTGTGTTCGCTTCTTTCTGTTATAGAGCTTTCAAGTGTGCTGTTAAGTTGCTTGTGTGGAATCTTTCCAATATCTTTATGTAGGTACTTAGTTCTGTGAATTTTCCTCTTAACATTTCATTGTGTCCCATAAGTTTGGATATGTTGTGTCTTCGTTTTCTATTGAATTCTATAAAGTTTTTCTTTATTTCTTTATTTCATCCCTGACCAAGTTATCATTGAGCAGATTTTTTTCAGTTTCCATAAGTATGTGGGCTTTCTGGTTGTTGTTGTTGTTGTTGTGTTGTTGAAGTCTAGCCTTACTCTGTGGTGATCTGATAGAATGCATGGGATTATTTCAGTCTTCTTGTATCTGTTGAGTCTTGTTTTGTGTACAGCATTATGCTCAATTTTGGAGAAAGTTCCGTGAGGTGCTGAGAAGAAGGTGTGTTCTCTTGTTTTGGGGTGAAATGTTCTTTAGATATCTATTAAATTCATTGGATTTCCTGCCTCTGTTTAGTTTTTGTTTCAAGGACCTGTCCATTGGTGAGTGGTATGTTGAAGTCTCCCACAATTAATGCGTGAGATTGAATGTGTGTTTTGAGATTTAGTAGAGTTTCTTTTACAAATATGGGTTCTCTTGCATATTCAGACTTGGTGGATTTTAGTTTGATGAATATGAAGTGTCCTTCCCCATTTCTTTTGATAACTTTTGGGTAAAAGTCTATTTTATTGGCTATTAGAATGGCAATTGCTGCTTTTTACACTTTGTATTTTCTTTAACCAATGTGTCAGTATCTTCTGTAGAATCTTCTGTAGCTGAGATTCTCTCTTCTATTTCTTATATTCTTTTGGTGATGCTTACATCTATAACTCCTGATCTCTTTACTAAGTTTTTCATCTCCAGAGTTGCCTTTGTTTGTGTTTTCTTTATTGTTTATATTTCCAGTTTTAGGTCTCAGACCATTTTGTTCAATTCCTTCACCTGCTTGATGTATTTTCCTATCTTTCTTTAAGGGATTTATTTGTTTCCTCTTTTAGGGCTTCTAACTGCCCATGTTTTCCTGTATTTCTTTAAGGGAGTTATTTCTATCCTCTTTTTTATCTTTTACTGGATATTTTCTTTATTTACATTTCAAATGCTATCCCCTTTCCGTGTCTCCTCTGGAAACCCCTTATCCCATCCCCCTCCCCCTGGGTCTATGAAGGTTCTCCCCCACCCACCCACTCTGGCCTTCAAGCCCTGGCATTCCCCTATACTGGGGCACCGAACCTGCTCAGGCCCAAAGACCACTCCTCCCACTGATGTCCAACAAGGCCATCCTTTGCCACATATGAGGCCGGAGCCATGTGTCCTTCCATGTGTACTCTTTGGTTGGTGGTCCAGTCCCTGGGAGCTCTGAGGGGGTCTGGCCGGTTGACACCGTTGCTCCCCATAGGTCTGCAAATCCCCTTAGCTCCTTCAGTCCCTTCTCCAACTCCTCCATCGGGGACCCTACACTCAGTCCAGTGGTTGGCCGCTAGCATCCACCTCAGCACTGGCACAGCCTCTCAGGAGACAGGCATATCAGGTTAAAGGCTTCATTTATCATCATGATTTTAGATAAGAGTCTTGCTTTTCAGGTGTGCTAGGGCATCCAGGGCATGCTGTGCTGGGAGAGCTGGGTTATGATGGTGGCATATTGCACTGAGATTTGTCACTTATGTTCTTAAGCTTGCCTCTGGCCATCTGGTTCTTTCTGGTGTTAACTGGCCTGGGTACCTCTGACTGGAGCTGACCTCTTTGGAGGCAGGTAGGGCTCCTGGAAGGCAGTCAGTGCTCTCTTTGATTAGGGAAGAGGAAGTTCTAATGGGCATATAAGTTTTGGTGTCATTTCTGCTTTTATCTATTAAAGTGCTAATTATAATTGATTCAGGCATAATAGTGACAATGACTTTCAAATTGTTTGAACAGTAAAGCTTGGCTTCTATAAAATAATACTGAAGCGTTTTGCTTATCCTTTGCTTAATTTACTTTAAATGCTACATTGTTAATTTATTTTTTGTTCATACACAGTTGGTAGCTCCTTGCCAAAATGGCCTTAGAATATTAACTTGTTTGATAAATCTGTTTTTTATTTTTCTTCTAGGTATAAGCTAAGGTCAAATGTTTTTGTAAGATAATAAATATAATTCAGTCCCCTGATGTTGTATTCTCTATCTCTTTCTGTATGACCTAACTTTTATTTGGCAACAGTGTTGTTGATGTAACAAGGTATTTGTTTAAATTTTTTCTAGAAGCAAACTATAGAGATTCCATTATCTTCTTTTCTTCATCTTTAAGATGATGGCCTTTGAAGTGTGAAACGTGTTCCAAGATTTCCATATGCTAAAAGAAAATACCTTTTAGTTAGTTCAGTTTTTACAAATCAAGATGAGATTTATGAACAAAATTAGGGAAATACATTCTTTTAACGAAATATACTCATATTTTAAAACTTATTTGAAATAAGAAGCTTAAGACTTGTAAAAAAAAAAAAGAAGCATATTAAGAAAAAAAAACCAAAAAGATGTGCTTTTGTATACTTTTACTTTCTGTTTTGAAATGTTTCATTTTGAACGAAAGTGTGTACTTGGAGGTTCCTTTTTAAATAACTGACTGTTGAGAGTTTATTTTACAACTATCAGTAAATTGTATCTTTATATCTTCTTGAATAAAATATAACTGTGAAAATATCAACTAAATTGTACTATAGTGTTAGATAAGTTGTTTGTTTTAAGGAGAAAGGCCTTATTTTCCATCTTAAATACTTTTCACTATTAATTATATGTCATTATTGATAAGCTTTGATACAATATGAATGAGCTACTTAATTTATATCTTCTACCTGTTAGAATTAAACGTGTAATTTAATTTTTTGGTGTAATGGTAACAGAGGAGGCATACCAGTGTATTTTAATGTCCTTTTCCATCTATAAGCACTGCTTTCTGATTTCTGAAAAATGGTGAAATTTTTGTATTATTAGTACTTATAACATGTATTTATAGTTTGTGTTTTCTTTTTAGGATGAAGTGGCACACACTCTTACTGAAAGCAGAGTACTAAAGAACACCAGACATCCATTTTTAACAGTAAGTGCTTAGAGAACTGCTATTAGGACATTTTAAATTTAGTGGGGTTTTAGTATAGAATGAAACTATGACTGTTTTAAGTAACATTTACTTATATATACTACATTTTATGACAGACTGTAAATTCAGTTTCTTTGAAACTGTTGAGAGATGTATACTCTTTATTATATGGATCTATAATCCCCCTATTACCTATGTACAACTTTTTAGAACCTTTTTCTTTCCTCCCATTTATCTCCCTGACTTCAAAATGTCCACAGAGCAAGAATATCACTTCTGAAATTTTAAGGAATCCATTAATAAAATGGTAGAAATTTAAAGTCTATTTTTATTGTTCAACTAGTAATGCAATAGAGGCATAATATTTCATGGCTGTATTGAGGAATCTGTGACAGGAGGCTCTCCACATGTTTGAGGCCAACCTGAGTTCTCTAGTAAATCCTACAGTTACCTGAATTATGGTGTCAGAAATATCTCAAAAGAAGAAAAAAGGAAGATTTTATATTTCTTTTGTTTGGTTGCTTCAGATAACATTAAAATGTCACACAGCTTCTGGTCTCAAAGGTCAGAATTTTAAATTAACAGACAGAGAAACAAGACCTTTCTTGATGGAAATACAGGAATATAAAATGTGTTAAATGCAGAATAAGCCTTTCTATCTTTTCTTTGTTAGAAAAAGTATAAACAACAATAATAAAATTATAAACAATATGCAGAATGTTTTCAGGCAGGCTATTTTACATTCAGTTGAGTATCTGCATACTAGATAGTAATTATAAAGTTTAGGTTTCTTGTTTGTACCAAACATATTAAGATCAAAAAGAACAACTACAGTTTAAAATTGGAATCCTTTGTTAATAGTCTAAGATTATCTAGATATTTTCAGAATTACCAGTAGATACTTGGTTTTTGTTAAGTGTTTCATGTCTATTTTGCAGGGTGATAAGAACATTTTGGTATCTTCTTGTGACTTGCAAACAGGCCAGGGCCTACCTTATTAAGTTTTGCTATGTTTTACCCTGAGTATATACAAAGTAACACTGAAGTATATACAAAGTAACACTGAAGTATATACAAAGTAACACCAAAGCTCTTTTGAACATAGTAAATAAGAGCAACGGTGCTCCTGAGGAACTTTTACTAGAGCTTCCTGTAGACATTAAAACAATGAAAACTAGCACACTGAGTACTGACTCAGTCTCAGATGACACAGTACATTTGAAAGTGCTTATCACAATTGCCAATTACCAAATTTCCTTTTTTTTTTTTACCATATTCTTATTAAGCACTACTATGAAGTAAATGTAATCGTAAGGAACACTATCGTTACATCAGTTACGCTAACTGTTTTTACATGATTTATTTTTGGTACCATCATATAATCTTTTAAGAATATAGGATTATAATTAACATTGTTTTCTTTTTCATTTCAAGTCATTGAAATATTCCTTCCAGACAAAAGATCGTTTGTGTTTTGTCATGGAATATGTTAATGGAGGAGAGGTGAGTCAAGAAGTCAATCTAACATTTGCATGGAGCATTTCATTAAAATCATTACATACAGTATGAATTATGATGCTTCTCAGCTCCACAGGTGTTTGCATAGTTCTTCCTGTTGAGTAGACAAAAGATAGGTATTTCTAATTGAGTGTTTTGATCATATATTAGCATAATCATATTCTTTATTTTACTTTACTTTTGAAAGATAAACATGTTTTACCACAATATGATTTTTAAAGGGTATATAATCCCCTGTACTTACTGATTTTTTTTTAGATGTATTTTATATGTGCGTGTTTTGCCTACATGTGCGACTGTGCAGCACGTGTGTGCTTGGTGCCCAGTAAGGTCAGAAAAGGGCATCAAGTCTTCTGGAGCTAGAGTTACAGGTGGTTTTGTGCCAATATGTGGGTGCTGGAAATTGAACCTGAGTTCTCTGTTAAAACAAGTTAAAGTCTCTGTTAAAACACTTCTCCAGCTCCCACAGTATGATTTCTGAAATTGTTATTAGATTGTGTAACTATAGATGCATAGTTAATTATGTTTTAGATAACTTTTCAAACAAGCCTTCTGTAAACCTTGTAAAACTTTTTAAAAATCTATTTTGAACTCAGCCAACTATAACCTATAGATACATTGTAGCTGAACTTTTTGTTTCCCCTTGTATGTATTAGTTACTAGTGAAGGAGATGACAATGAAGAAATTTAAGAACTCTTACAGGTTTGAATAGAAGTTAAATCATTTCACTAGTACAATTGCTTTATCTTCTTCCTGTTTTGAACAAAATCGATGTGAAATAGAAGTGTAATATATAGAAATAGTAACTAGAGATACTTTAAATATCTAACTTTCTGAAATAAATGTACTAAATAAAAGCTTGTATTTCATATTTTAAATATTATTTTCCAATCTACATAAATAACTGATAAAGAATATTTTTCAAAAAGGTTATCTGATATTTAGAAATTATGTTGTTTGAAATTTCCTTCACTCACATGGTAATTGTACTTTGAATGTAGAACTAGTACAGGTTTTTCTGAGTGTACTAAGACATTGTTTTTGCTATGAAGGAGTATGTTGTTTCTATTTTGAGAATATTAGTTAGATTGTCTAATCCTCAAATACAAATAAATTAATAAAAGATATTTCTTCATTAAAGATAGACTTTGAGATTTTATTAGTGGACTGGGTAATTTGAAGTGGCAGTTCAAATAGCATTCCACCAGTGGATGAGCACAAAACAAAGAAATCTTGAGCATTAGAATAATAGTAACCTAGACATAGAAATGTGGAGCTTCAGTCAGATGTCCATGGAGATATGAAGATGACAGATGGCTTAGAGCTGTGGGGCTGGCACTCTATGAGCTATTTTGTTGATATGGGTAAAAAACACTATTGCGAAGATTCACTCCTGGTTTATTGTTGATCATGTGAAATTGTTGGATATACTCAAGTTATGAAAAAATTTTCAGAGGAAGACTATAACATTAATTTTTATAAAATTTTTACTATCATTTTGAAGAACTATGTGTTGAATTTGAATAATAAAGGAGAGCAGATTTGGGAGATATTTACCTAAAGGTTATAATTTTACTCATAGAGATGGAAATGAAATTAATGGAACTTCCTCATTGGTTCCTGACAGAATTTAAAAATATACAGATTCTTGGAATTTGTTCTCAACTTGATGAGATATAGAATCTCTTGAGAGATGGGCCTCTGGGCATGTCTGTGAAACTTATCTGTGGTAACTGAGGTGGCAATTCACACCCTCTATAAGTAGCACTGTTCCCTGCCTGGGATTCTGAACTGTATAAAAACGCAAACGTGAGTGAATACAAGCATTCATCAGCTTTGACATGGAATTGTGGTTGCGGTGTAACCAGATGCCTCAAGCTCCTGTAACTTCTTCACCATGCTTGAGTCTAACCTTGAACTGTGAGCCAGAATAAAGCCTATATATTTTTTAGTTGCTTTTGTCAGGGCATTTTTATACCAGCAACAGGAAGGCACTCAGCAATTTTGTTTTGAGTAATTATAATCTCAAGAAATAAAGAGATATGACCAAATAGTATATGGATAAACATGATTACTATACAAGTATGGTATCTTGAATGGACATTCAGTAAGTAGCTGCTTAAATATATAAAATGTTGTAAGATGAAAGAGTATAAAGCATGTCCCTATTATGATGAGAGAAATGTAGATCATGAGCATGTGTACATGCCTTTCTCTGTGTGTGAGTTTTTCATTGTCCACTGGAATTTAGACCTGGCTCTGTGACTCAGTACAGGGCGGAAGGAAAGCTTTTCACTTGTGTGTTGTTCTTTAGCTTGTGTTTTACATACAGATATTGTGTACTCAATATTTAAAGAATAAGCAAATGGAAGGATGACTGGGGAAGAGAATTATGGAGAGGAAATAGAAATCTATAGGCAAAACTTAGAGGAGCACTGAGTGCAGTGCAGGCCGCAAATCAACATCTATATAATTAACTTGCAACTCTAATAATGTAAGAAATCGCATTGTTATTAATATGCTAAAGCCATGCTTAGTAATTTAGCTGATATTAAATTTAATGAGAAGTAGAAAAGTATTGGAGAAATGTAATGTCTGAAAACTAAAGTAATTTCAAATTTGGTTGAAGAAGTCTCCACTTAAATCTTTTGCCAAATTGTCTTCAGCTCTGTATATTTTAAACCTTAGAGATTGGCCTTGTGTGATCTCTCACAGGCTCAAGCTTCCTGCAGGACAGAGATTCATGACATGGTAGAACCCTGTGAGCCTGACACATTATTACTGTTCTGCCAAGCTCTTTCTGTAGGTACTAAGTAACCTACCATAGCCAGAATTGACTACTCAGCCTTGTTAGTATTGCACACAGTTGTATTAATGTCTTTGATAAAATTCATTTTAGTTTTTGCATATGACTTTCAGTTACATGTCATTCTTGAAATCCTCTCTTACTTATTCACATTTCTCATTATTTGGCTGGCATTTTCTCTTCTGTGAACTAAAATCATCTCATTTTAATTTCACATAAGACAGAAGTGCAGGCAGTCAGCATTTGAATTCTACTTTCTAATTTGTGGAGGTGTGATTTGGGTGATTTTTAAGTTAAAAGTATTTCAGATTCATGGTGATACTTTTAAAACTTGATTTTTTTTACTAAATTTGTGGTTCTATAAATAACTTTATTACCAGGAATCCGAGTTATTAAGCTTTATGTAGGTTATGTGAGAATTCTGTTCCTTTCACCCAAAGCTTTTTAAAAAATTCTCAAGCCAAGAAAACTACATTATAATAATCATATTAACATCTAAAGTTCAAGGAAAATGAGTTATTTTATATTCCATCTTATGATATAATTTTATAGTATTTCAAGGCTAGTTTTGTAAACTATCATAGGATTACAGTTAAAGTTAACAGAAGATAAGTCTTACTGTCTAACTAACAGTGAACTGCTTAGAACTGTGAGCAGGGACAGGCATCTCTCAGTGCAGAATGACAGTTCCATGGAAACTAGAATTGTTAACAGTTGCTTACCCCAAAGCGATCCTTTTAAGAAATTGCAAATAGGAACAGGCCTGAATGTGTGTGCACACACATACACACTGAAAGAAAAAAAAACAGGAAAATGACAAAACTAATAGGTAAATATTTAAAACTGTGATCCCCAAACAGTACATAATCTTTTGTATTCTTTGGTATCTTTTACATACTTAAATACTTTTAAAATCCTTTATGATGATTGAGTTGTTCTGTTACGTTACTATCATGTTTCAAAGTGTTTGTCTGTAGCTATAAGATATACATCAGAGTTGGTAAAAAACTATTGTGAACAATATAGAACAAATCTGTATAAAACTCATTGTTTAAATCTGTATAAAACATGTTGGTTTTTAATTGTATTTTTAAAAATAATGAGTTTCTTTATGAAATTGTGTATACACAGCACATGTGTGGAGGTGGAGGACAACTTTTGGGACTATGTTCCAACATGTGGATCTCGAGGAGCAAACTCAGGTTGCCAAGTTTGAGTCCTGACAGCCTTACCTCCTGAGTCATCTTGCCAGCTCCTGTTACAACATGATCATGTATAAATATGATACTTGGTGTTAACTTTGCCCTCACCATTCACCCTCTTGTACCTTCCTCACACTGATCCTTCTCCTCATGTCTTCCTTCTAGCTTTGTGTTTTAAAAATCAGGACCTCCAGTTCTTCCTAGTTGGCTGAATAAAATTACATTGTGTATGCATGTGACATCCTTACTCATTCATTGATGAACATACAGGCTTATTTCATAATTTAGATATAATTAATCATTCAGCAATAAATATGGATGTATAAATCATCTCGATGGTGGGTTGGCTTGGACTCCTTCTTCTGTATAACCCAGAGGAGGTTAGCAGGGTTACATAGTTGTTCTGCTTTTAGGCTTTGAAGAACTGTTCCCACAGTGGCTGCCCTGACCTGTGTGCTGCCACCCGTGATCCTCTCCCTTACCTTGCATCCTGTTTGCTGTCTTCAAGACAGCTCTTCTTACTGGGCTCAAGCGGAATCTATGCAGTTTGGATACGCATTTCCTGTTTGGCTAAAAAAAAATACATGTTTTCATTTATTAGATCCTGAACCCTTTTATAAGAACTATCTTTTTCAGTTTATTTGTCCCTTTCCAAATAATTGGATTATTTCAACTTTTGCTACTTGGTAGTTTGACTTCTTCATATAATCAGAAAGTTAACTCTGTTACATGAATAGTTAGCAATGCTTTTCTCCCAATTCCAAGGCTTTCTATTCACTTTGATAATTGTTTCCTTTGCTGTGCATGAGCAATTTAATTTCAGGTAACCCCGTTTGTCAATTCCTGCTATTACATTTGGAGCTTTTCAAATTGTATTCAGACAGTTATTGCTGTGCATATATCTTGCAGTTTTCTGTTAGTGGTTTTAGAGTCTCAGAACTTTGAATTCAAAATGGATTGAATTTTTTTTATAAGT